GAAGCACCTTTCTTAACTCCGCAAAGCCGAAGAAGGATAGTGAATATTGGCGAGGTGCCGTGAGGCCTGTGGAGGGGAAGTTACGAAGCCAATACTCAGCTAGAGTACGCTATTAATCAAGAGCGATAATACCTAGAGGTACAGAGAAAACCATGGAAATAGTGCTATTCACGACTACGATTATGTCTATCTTGCCTGCGAGTCGAAGAATAAGTTGATGTATTACGGCATAAGCAGAATTACTTTGCTCTCTAGAACAAGACCAAGCGCTTGTCAAAACGATACCCTAGGCGGAGCATATCGGCTCCTAACCCCTTCCCACATCAAAACGCACCTCGAATCACTTCGCCACTCCTACAACCCGGGTAAGGCATCTTGTGCTATCGTTTCCGTCACCCACTTGGAGGCTGATAATTGATGTCCATATTCCAAATTTGGTCTGTTACTACAATTAGTAACTGAGTCTCGCGCACTAGGTAGAAAACTCTAACTGGAGACAGCGCATCGCACATACAGATCGACGGCTTAGCCCGTGCAAGGAAAGAAGATAGGAAGACAATAGAGGCATAGACCTCGCGCTGCCCCTACACTTTCGCTCTGCGGAAAATGTCACGCGCCCCCTATGACTAAGCGCGGCGCAAAGCACCCGTCCAATAGTAACCATTAAATTTATCATAAGTGGGCAACGAACACCACGAACCATTCACGAAAAAAGCACCACACTACAGTTTAGTTAGATGCGTGCAGACTTGAATTCGAGTGTTGATATGGATCCGAGTATTATAAGAGAGAAGGTTTAGGAAGCAATGTCCGAACTATCATCTCGACCTGTTGCGCCAGTACGTTATCATTTGACAATCCTTGTCATGAGTTTAAGCGAGCAAGACAAGAAATTCCTGAGACTCTATTGGCGTATGATACCATTTGAAAATTATTCTAGACTCGCAGGCAAGTAGAATTAATGTATCCGTGCAATACACACTAATTACCACTGTTTTTCCGTATGATATAACTCTAGTATCTCATCCGTCATATTGGTTATTCAATTGAATCAAAGATGTCTAGGTTTTACTTTATATAGCCTTATTCTAAAGAGCCAAAAAGACTGCGCACGGCTGTAATGCCAATACCATAACCAACAATTATTCTAAAGACTCGCAGACACCACCACCGACATGAGGGAGAAGAGATTAAAAATAATGCAATCGCGCTAGTTTTTTTTTTTTTTAAAAACAACACCACGAAAAAATTAGCGCAACTTATTCCCGTTTTAAACTCTCGTTTAAAGTCACAAATCAACCACACTTTACTCTTGATTGGGAAATAGGGAGCTAATAATAATACACAATAACAACACACAATAAACACAACCAAAATCAAATTTAATAAGGGTAAGAAACGAACCAAACATGTGCAAATGCTGAAACCATGCACAATAAGCAGCCAAAGTAATATTGTCCGACACTTAAAATAAAGCTCTCTGCCCCGTTTATGTTGACAGCGAATTATACTTTATGTGGATTTCAACAGAATTATTAGGTTAGTAACCAAAAGTCTACCGATAATTGAAACACTAGAAATATAAAATACAAGGGCCATAACGCGTTGGTCGCCGGAAATAACGCTTACCACCATCTGCTAAAGCGTACGCTGAATAGAGAAGCAGTCTGTGAATACAACGACAAAATAAATAGTTGAGTAAATAACGGGCACACAAAGACCCAGACTTAAACGGATTTTGTGGAAACCGTAAAGTGGCTCTGGGACCAGCAAATTCACAATATATATGGAAAATTGCGAAAAAAATGAAATAGATAAATAGGAAAAAAATTTCTAATTGTGTTCAAAATAGAGTAACTACAAGAAAACAGCGTCCTGAAATGGTTATCGCCCGGAAAGCACTAATCGCCAGAACAGAAGAAGAGCAAGGCTCGATGTAGGCAGCCACTATCTATCTCGAGTCGGGTTTTGCGGCAAAAAGAAACGCAGATTTTCAGACCGTCACTATCAGCGTAGGGACATCTAGGAACAAGGCGGTTGGTTATAGCATTATCAAGGAAGACAGCTGAAGTAATAAATACATGCAGAAGAATTATTCAAGAAGTAATGTAATCTCGTAAATTTACAATTCACTGAATGACTACAACATGTTTTTTCAATGTTCAGCCATTGTAGCGCTCTCCGTCTTAAAAGCGCACAGGTGCGCATCCAAACGTGCTGAATTTCTCCAGTACGAGAGCTAGCAATAATTCGAGGCATGATGAATCACACTGCCTTGATGACAAATAGAACTCTAGTTTCCTACCCGATTTGACGCGCGTTCCCGAACAAGAAAGGAGGTGCGGAAAATAGGTAATCAGGCCGGCCAACGCATAAATTTTCAAGACAACATATACATCGAAGGTGGTGACGGATGACTTCAGATTTTTTATCGTTGGCTGCGGCCCGTATAACCGGCTGGTACCGCGGGCAGACAGCTGCGAGCGTTGCTGTGGAGATGTGGGGAAAACTGACAAAACTGTCAACCAAACAATGTGGAGGTATGTCAAAAAGAATAGTAGCGCTTTTTAAAAGACACGGCCAGTGAAATGGAGAAGCTAGAAGGTTTATTTGCCATAGAGATATTATTATGCAGTGACACGAAGTATTTGTGCTAGTCTAGGTACTGAGATAATTTAGCGGTTGAAAATCGCAATGTGGCGCTTTAATTACGCCCAATTTATAGTAAAATATAGGAAAAGTATATATGTATGATATCTGTAATGTAGAGCGTGCATCACAGTATTATGTGCGCCGCACCCTGAAGGGCGACGCGCGTCGTCGGTTGCAAGATACCGTGTGTTTTGGTGCGAGAGCGGAGAGAGAGAGGGGGGGAGCGAGGTGTTGCGAGAGGGGAGGCCTCGGCGGTCTGCAAAAAAAGCAAGCTAATCAAACCAACAGATGATGCACAGGGGTACGAATGTGGTTGGACTTCTTCATTTCAAGGCCTCTTGATTAAACAAAATCAATCACCACAAAAAAAGCAAATTGGCACTATATAACAATCGCGTTGGAACACACATGCTGTGTTATTTCTCTGGTGATCCCACAAAATGAAATGTTGGAGACAAACAATGGCATTTAGAAACTATATTGGGCGTTGCGATAGACGAGCATGCGCTAGGGGTGACGAACCAACATCAAAATTTAAAAGTGCCGAAAAACAAACGTGCCTGCACCACGGCAGCAATGTCAGTGCGCGACAAAAACAATTGACATTAACAATCCCGGAAAACAAATGATAGCAAACACTGAGTAGACGAATGCAACTTCAAGTAATCAAAAACTGCGTTTGCAAACAATCCTGCACAGGGGCAGACATGAAACAATATAAATGCCTCGCATGAGTATCACAATGGCTCATTTTAAAATCAAATGCGTGAAAGACTATGACTTAGCGGACAGCAGCCAGCGAGATGGGTCTGTGTCGCATACAAACAATGCCGTACAAATGATGCAGACAATAAAGGTTGATATCTATATGCGAGGACGCAAGTATCTCAAAATGGGCTCTAGGGTGGAGGAACACAAAAATGGGGGCTTTGAAACAAACTCTCGAGCGCGCCACAAACACACTAATGCACGAAACACATGCTGAACGGCGAACCAATGCAAACTGAAGCCCAACGCATTGACGATCATATACGATTGTAAATTGTATAATATATTAATGTTATATATTACATATAACTATATATTATATAATATATATGTAAAAAATACATATTTACAATGATCAACAACAACAATGCCGTACGAATCAATGCTGAACGAAGCAAGGCCCGATCACATATACTACACATTGTAATTAAGAAATTTTGTAATTGAATCAGAAAATGAAATTAATGTCTTTGGAATGGTAAACACTTAATTGGTGCAATTCTGAGATTGCCGCCAGGCAACTCGAAGAGAATCAAAAAATCACTCTGCGAAAGCTAAAATCACACGGAAGTGAGAAATTTAAAGATATACTGGCAATAATATAATATCGAATAGCTGGTAATGCTATATAATTATAGAGTTATGCTCTGTTTTAGTATTGATTTTCGAGTTTCGCTTGTCAGCAAATAACCAAACCCCGGAAACAAGCAGGCTATGACGAATCATTGAGGTGAGGGCAAGAAATATCGATAGGTTTTTCTGTCTGAGTGGCAGCACTCGGTGGCAGTAGAGTGCTGAATTGCTCGTGAAGATTGAGGCGAATTAACTGGTTTGTTCAGCGGATTTTCCGGCGAGTTTGATGGTTTGACGGCGACGGTTTGAAGGTTTTGGACCAGTGACAGGAAAGCACTCCACGGTTATTAACCCTACAGACAGACTAGATAGAGGTTTCATTGTGGGTTATTCGGACGCGAGGGACTTTGTCGAGGATTGAGAACCTTTTTCTTGAATTATAAAAGCAAGAAAAATGATGGTATGTTTTCGGAAAGCCCCTCACTTGTTAGGGCGCCCAAAAAGAAAGTTTGGAAACCCCGGTTAACTATTTTCTTAAAATAAAACTTGTTATGAGCTAACCGTCAAGTATTATTTGTTTTAAAGGTAATAAGGGCTCCTGTTGTTAGCGCACCAGTAACGCGCGTGCCCCGTAACCTCTCAGAGTGTTCTTTGGTATCTTCTACTGTCTGGCTTTCCCTCCTGCTCTTGCAATCCTCGGTTCCTACCGTTCCTCTGGCGTGGTAGTCTTTAGTATTGGTTTTGCGGCCCTTTGCAATTACCTAGCAGCAAGGACTGGTGACGTAGGAGAAATGAAATTACTACATACCGCTCGTTCCGTCTCCTTCGCTGGTTGCTGGTGTGTTTTAAGTATTGGCTTTGGCGGTCCTTTGCACTATACGGGTTCGTACAGCAAATGATTTGAGGGAGTTTTTCAGCGGGCAGAATTGTTTATGGTGACCCGCTTTGACCCTGGTTTGAGCAGGCTTTTTTCCAAGCTACGAACACTACGCCCCTGAGTATACAAGATGCCGCGCATGGTGAACCTACATTGGGCATGCGCAGAATCGGGGCGTTGGGCGGCCTTTGGATTCTGTCCGCCTATATTACGGGAAGTAAGATACATACATACGAACTCAAATATATATTAGATGAGAGATAGGCTGTGCCAAAATTATCTTGAAACAATTTCAAGTTTGCATTTGCACAACCATTCAGTGCGCACGTACTTTTGTCACAGGGGGAAAATTTGCTCAACATAAGATTTTTGCACACACTGACTACTAATAATTAGAGGGAACTTTGATGTTGACATATGTAAACCAATCTACTTTGAAATGGAAATCGGCAGGCATCTTTGTGAAAATAATGATGTGTGAGGTTGTTTGTGTGTGATTACTTTATACACTTGGTGAGAAGTACCAGTAAATTAAGTATCAGAGCAGCTGAGAAAATATGAAAATGTTTGGGAAAACATGTGAAATTGTTACTTTTTAGCCTGTAGAAGCTGCTGACGATCCATTCTGGGACCAGTTCTTTTCCGAAACGCTAGTGGGTGTTCAGGATTTCTTCACTCTAATTCCAGCAGCAGAGATTAGAGCTTTGAGGTATGTCCCACTCTCATCAATCAGTAACACTATAGCAACTGCATGATAACACTATACTGACTTATGGCCCGAAATTATCAATTATTAACCAGTTTTTTGGATTGGCTGAACTTTCTGACCTGCTTCACTTACTCATATTATGTTTGTTTCACTTAAAAATATGGTACTAAAAGCTAGAATGTAGTATTGGCATTAGGAAGCAGACACAATCATTCTGTAGCATGAGCGTCATTTTCATACAGCGTCAATAACAAACGAGTATATAATTACTAATTAATTATAGGTACATGTCTCAACTCATGGTTAGCGTTGGAGGTATTGGAGTTAGCGTTACCGGATGGGTAATGGTTTTGAAGTATACGTCAACGGTATCACGTGACCCTCCCTCCATGCCCGGGGGATAGCAACACCCATTTATTCAAACGCCATCGCTACAAAGCGGGTATAGCGCCATCTACGGTCACAAATTGTGATTCATTTTGGTTTATAAATTATTATTGCAATATACAGATGGCAATCGTTTCTATAATGTACGTCGATGGTTGCTCAATTAAAAATGACTTCTTACTCACTCATTTGTGTCCTTTTTTGTGGTGAGCTACAGTGTCATTGACACTTTCATTATACATGCAGTTGTATTCTAATTATATTTTACGCTGGTAAATTAATCCATCGTTGTACTATTGCCGATATGCCGTAGAGAGGAGTCGCCGTCGAATCTTGCTACGCTGTGCTACAAAGCTGTTGAAAAGTTGCTCCGTGCATCAGAGTCGTCGTGCGGCACGCAGCTCGAACAGCAAATCGGTACGAGTTACTGTATACGCCATATTTTTCGCTTACAGATATTTTCGCGAATTCAGACTTGACGGACAATTTCGCGAGTGGTTAGTTTCTCGGTCGGTGAATTATGAATTATTCGGTATGAATTACTCGCGTGTTGTTATTCTCGCGGTTGGGGACGAGTTCGCGAAATTTGCGAAAATTAAACCACTGTGAAATATACAGCGTATACAGTATGCGACGGTTCACCCGAGGCCGAGCCTCGCCATGTCTGCAACACGGTATTCTGTTCGTCGCAGAAAGTTTCTGTGTAGATCATGCAGGGGTAGAAATAAGGAGAAAAAAGAGATGGTCCTCCTAAATTTCAAATTGTTCTCATTGTTACATCATGCCAAATATTTGCTATGGTCAACACTGGATTAGCAATAATCGAAACGGGGAAACTTCAAAGAAAATTACCGTAAAATGGGACCAAAATATTCAATGGTCGAAAATCTCAAACAAACTAAGAACGTGTTTGATTGGAACTATAAAGTCATGTAATGCCACTGTTGACTTAAGGAACCGTCTGCCGCGATTGCATTGCAGCGTTGAACTGCGTTAGGTTGCTGACTCGTATCCTTCCATACATATTCGAGGACCCGGAATGGAGAGGCTTCTTCTGGTCGACGTTGCCAGGACAACAGGAAGACGAAGAAGGAGAGGTAGAGAGTAGTTTTTCAGGTGGCATGGGGCTGATTGTTGCAATGTACAGGAGTTGGAGACAGATTAGCATAGAATTTGTTCTAACAGTTATACACTAAGAAAATGCTTGGCTGCAAAAAAACATGTATACAGATATGTATTGTTCATTCTTTATTTTTTTTCAGGCAGTACCTTTGGCTCAATCTCTGCTCAATGCAGTCTCTGTAAGTTTTCAAGGATATAGTCAAGAGCATACAAAAATGGGTTAATGTGCTATAATACAATATTTCTTGGAGGAAGTTCCATATATTTGTAGATTTGTTTATGTCATAGATAAATGAAAGGATACATTATGAATGAATATCTGTTAGTCGGATGTTTGCTAAGTTGATACAGGTTTTATCTACCATTTTTATTGACTTCTTTTTTCTCGTTATGTTTTCCGAATGAATTGGTGATAAATTGCTTAGCTACTGACTCATCTTTGGTTGATTCTTGTATACAGGACTTGTCATTCTGCCCGGATTTTACCGTCGCTTCCAGCAAGAAAAGCGGTCCAGTGAGTACTCACACTTTATAGCTTTTTTCTGATTAGCATCACAAAGGTGTTGTAATAAACACGGGACGTTATCGAGCATTTGTTCATCATCGAATTCTAATTTACAGGACGTTCCTGAAGATTTGCAGTCTATAGACTCGTGCGAATACATCTGGGAGGCCGGCGTGGGTTTTGCTCATTCGCCTCCAAAGCATGCGCAGAATCTGTCCAATCGCAGTGATCTTCTAAAACTACTGCTCACTTGTTTTTCGGAAACAATGTACCTGCACACAGGTAGGTCCTGTACCTATTCAACTAGCATATTTGATCAGTTTGATGCTAGTGTTTGATAAACCGTAACATTATGCAAGTGAGGTGTGCTTGTTATTAGATGTGTTGAAGCCATGAAGTTAACATTAAATAAATGGGTAATTTGCATCTTTGAACTGACCGTCAACTGAATTGTTGACGAGGTGAAGCAACAGCTGTTATAACACATCCCTGCGCGTACCACACGCTGCCAGGAAGTCCCAACACACAGCGAGTGCCAACGAACACCTGCCGCGTTGCTGCTTGACCTACATTCTAGAAACCAAACTTTAGCACTAACTATAATTTAACTGCCATAGAAAATAAAGAGTGATTATATCATCTCTCACGCATCTCTCTCTCTCGCGCGTGCGCCAGGCTCCGAGTACAGCCAGCGCAATCGCTGGATCGGCTACTTCACGTCTGCGGAGAACCGGCACGCGCTGCCACTCTTCACGTCACTGCTGAACACTGTGTGCGCGTACGACCCCGTCGGCTACGGCATCCCCTATAACCACCTGATGTTCACCGACTACGCTGAGCCACTCGTCGAGACCGCCCTGCAAGTGCTCGTTGTCACGCTCGACCACGACTACAGCCAGAAGGAGGAGGAGTTCTCCAACGAGGTGATAGTCAGGAGGATTTACTATAGGGGGAAGGGTAGTAAGAGGTGCTAACGCAGTAATCGGGGTGGGGGAGGGGGGTGTTCTTTAGGTGGAAGGTTGGTAAGAGGTGCTAACGTTGCCATGCTTGACCACGACTACAGCCAGAAGGAGGAGGAGTTCTTCAACGAGGTGATCCGGGGGGAAGGGCGGAGGGTGTGTTTTAGGGGGAAGGTTGGTGAGAGGTGCTAGCGACTACAACCAGAAGGAGGAGGAGTTCTCCAACGAGGTGATCCGAGGGGAAGGGGGGAGGGTGTGTTTTAGGGGGAAGGTTGGTGAGAGGTGCTAGCGACTACAGCCAGAAGGAGGAGGAGTTCTCCAACGAGGTGATCCGGGGGGAAGGGGGGGGGAGGGTGTGTTTTAGGGGAAAGGTTGGTAAGAAGTGTTAGAGAGGTAGGGGATGTAGTCAGCTGTGTATATCTGTAGCCAGCTGCGCATGTATACCAGGGGGCCATTGTCAGAAACAAAATTAGTCGCAACATTAGTCTTACCATTAACTTCGACTCGTAAACCGTTGACAGAAACATTGTAAGGTTACGATAACGAAAAATCCTCGGAAATTTCCTCCTAACATTACGAGAGCCCAGACCCTCTCGTAACTTTAATATTAAGTTGAAAATAACACATTTACACTACGAATTACAATTATAGTGATATTATATTTTATAATAATGAATAAAATGTGTGTTTTTTAGCTCATCTGACATAGTCAGATGCAGCTTGTAGAATCGCATGATCGTCCGTCCGTCCGTCCGTCCGTGCGTCCGTCAACAGTTGGGCACAAATCTTAACCGCTCGACGTACGGTCACGATATTTGGGACGTTGGGGGGGATCGTCAAAATGAGTTGGGATGTCGAAGCTGGGGGGTCAGAGGTCAAAGGTCAAGAGGTGTAAAAGAAGGGGGAACATTCCCTCCTTAACTTAAGGTATAGGGAGGAAATGCAGAATTGCGGCACAAATCTAAACGGCTCGACCTAGGCTCGTGATAGTCGGTGTATAGCAATCATGGTAGGAAAAGCCATCACTGTGCCGAAGATTGGAGGTCACAGCGGTCAAAGTCAATGGGGCACAGGGCAGATTTTTAGACATTTTTCTGAGGACATGGTGTGACGGAGCGATTGAAAAACTTTTTTGTTTCAGCGGTGACCTAGGCATTTTTATGGCTTAATTGAAAGGACCGTGAAATGTACTTTCTGCTGACATGCGAAGAGTAAGTGTCGGATAACTTTTGACCCTCAAGAGGAGGGTTAAACATGGATTTGTTGACTGTTAACAAAGGACTGAACTGCTTTTGCTATTGTGGATGTGAGGCTACAGTTGTACAGTTCAATTGCAAAGGCAAATGTTTTGTTGAACAAGGTTTACGCTCCTTAAATCATATTATTTTCTAAAGCAGTCTGTATTAGCACCCTGTAATAGCACACTGTAATGAACCCTGAATGCCTCGCCAAGGGTAGGCAAAAACATGGGGGCAGCTCATAACGCATGCATTGGGGGTGACATGGCACTATTCTAATCAATATAATTATTGCCTGGCAACCTGCAATGCAGATGTGTAACTCACAGCTGAGCGAAATTCTCGTCCTGCCTGAATATACTAACTCTGGATTTCAGCAACTCAATGGAGTGAGGTTATCACGCAGCGGAAGGGTGATGCCATCTTTGATTAGTGATGACACTTGCACGTGCCATCGTCGCGGCAACTTGCTTTTGCTATTCAGAGCCACCTCCACCCGCCCCCTCCCCCCACTCTCCCCCCACCACCACCACTAGCGCTCGCGCTCGACGCATATCCATGATAACATGTTAAAGCTCACAATGCGCATCCAAATGCTAATTTCTCCAGTACTAGACTAGCAAATACTTCGTGGCATGCATAATCAACATACCTTATGACAAAATACTCTAGTTCCTCCCATTTGACTGCGCGTTTGCTTAAAACCAACAAGAAAGAGGTGCGAAATCAGGTAATCTGGCGGCCAACGCTAAATTGTTTGCCAAACCAACATAGCCTCGACTGGTTGTGGTGATGTCACATGTTGCTACAGGGTGTTGAGGCAAGGAATGGGGTTACCGCTAGAAACAGTTGGCCGCTGGAGGGCAGCACATCTGCAGCAAGGTGAAGATTATCGCCCGCGTACCATATGCACACCCGTGATAGAGTGGGGAAGTGGGTGTTTATTCTTTTGTGTGTGCTGAGGAGTTATGTAAATATGTTTATTGAGATTCACTGTGATATTAGTGGTGCATATTGAAGTGGGTGTGCCACGTCTACGTGGTGTGTGTGTGTGTGGCGTGCGTGCGTGCGTGCGTGTTGTCATACATGTACGTGCATGCGTGCGATGTGTGCCGTGCGTGTGGCAGGTACACGTGTGTGCGTGCGTGTGCCACTTACCATGTGCAATGCGTGCGTGCGTGCGTGCGTGTGCACGTACTCGTGCGTGCATGCGTGCGTGGGTGTGCAGGTACACGTGTGTGCGTGCGTGCATGCGTACGTGTGTGCTTGCGTGCGTGCGTATGCACGTACAGGTGCGTGCATGCGTGCGTATGTACGTGCAGGCGTGCTTACGTTTGCACGTACACGTATGTGCGTGGCGTGCGTGTGTACGTTACACATGCGTGCATGCGGGAGTGTGTGCGTTCGTGTAAACGTGGATACGGTGTGTGCGTGCGTGTGCGTGTGGTGTATTGAGATTCACGGTGATATTAGTGGTGCATATGTGAAGTGGGTGTTGATATCTTTTGTGTGTGCTCAGGAGTTATGCAAAATATGTTTATTGAGTATTCACGGTGATATCAGTGGTGCATTATGTGAAATGGATTGTTTATTCTTTTGTGTGTGCTCATGAGTTATGTAATATGTTTATTGAGATTCACGTGTATATTAGTGGTGCATATGTGAAGTGGGTGTTGATTCTTTTTGTGTGTGCTCAGAAGTTAATGTAATATGTTTATTGAGATTCATGTATGTATGTAGGTACATGTATGACCTGCAGAAGAGCCCCTACTGTCGTACACCACCTATATTTCGCGCTGACAATATATATGCGTGCGTGGGGTGTGCACGTCCACAGTGTGTGTGTGCGTGCGTGGCGTGCGTGGCGTGTTGTCATACATGTACGGCATGCGTGCGTGTGTGCGTGCGTTGCAGGTAGACGTGTGTGCGTGCGTGTGCACGTAGCATAGTGCATGCGTGCGTGCGTGTGCATGTAGCTCGTGCGTGCGATGGGTTGTGCAGGTAACCGTGTGGTGGCGTGCGTGCATATGCGTACGTGTGTCGCTTGCGTGCGTGGCGTATGCAACGTACAAATGCGTGCATGCGTGGCGTATGTACGTGGCAGGCGTGCTTACGATTTGCACGTACACGTACTGTGCGTGCGTGCGTGTGTACGTTACACATGGCGTGCATGCGGGAGTGTGTGCGTATCGTGTAAACGTGCACGTGTGTGCGTGGCGTGTGGCGTAGTGGTGTATTGAGATTCACCGGTGATTATTAGTGGTGGCATATGTGAAGTGGTGTTGATTCTTTTGTCGGTATGCTCAGGAGTTTATGGGCAATATGTTTTTAGAGATTCTAGGTGATGATCGTGGTGGCATATGTGAAGTGGGTGTTGATAGGTCTTTTGTGTGTGCTCAGGAGTTTATGTAATATGTTTATTGAGATTATTAAAGCTACAAAGACTCAAGTTGCAATAACAAATTATGTATAAATCTTTATTTCATAAAATGCAGGCCATTTACTAGCAGACCACTAGGTGCATATTACTGGCTGAGCAATATCTCGCCTAAAGTTGGAGAATGACATAGAAGCACACCTTAAACATTCCTTCACCGAAGAAGAAATCTTCTGATGGGGCAAGGTGTCTTTTTAATGATTTAAATGTCTTGCTTAACAATGACCGCTCTCTACAATGAATGCTCTAGATGAGCGGGATACGTCTATTCCCTAACAACTTGTTCTCGGGCATTAAGTTGGGATTTTCCTTTGAGCATTTGACAGGCGTGTTTAGCATGCACATTACACGCGTCAACCTTTGAGTCATCTTTTTCGTCTAAAAATAAGACATATTTTAAGAGAAACGTTAACGAATATAATATTATTAAAAAAATGCGTGTGGCATACGAAGGGCTATAGCAGCTCGAGAACTATCTCAATATAACAATAATAAAACCATGTAGAATGAATGACCGGTGATTAAATATACGCCAGTACCTGTACCAGGTACTGTACCTAGTCGTAGCTAGAGACACCTGGCCTCGATATTGTAGCGCAAATTACCAGCTTGAACGTTGCCACTAGGCATTGTCCTACCTTATAATATACTGCTCTGTAGGCGATAAATTCTGTCAATGTATAACACAAACAGTTGTTTGTTTATAATTAGATGCTATGAATACGCAAGAAACTACTCAAACCTCAAAGTCACATGAGCTAATAACTATGTTTATAAGCTATTATTTCGATATTACACTTACTTAAAAGTGTACTAGTATAAGTCAGCCTCTCATGAAGTGATCGGCTGCAGACTTTACGAAGCATTTTAAACTTGGTTATATCGCTATGACGATAACGATCAGCTAATTCGTGGATTCCTAGTATCGTTTCAGCTGAACGGCGGTTGATTGCGCAATCGTTGTAACACCTCTAACTCCGCTGCGCCACCTGCTTGACAAAGCTAGGCGGCTAACCCATTGTTTGTCCCGGTCTATTAAATATTAGTCGTTTACATTTTAAGTTAGTTTGTAGTATTGTGAACTGCTGTAATATGTAACATCAAAGACCTATTAAGAAAAGTAATTATAGGCAGCGTAATAAACGTGAAATAACGGTATTGATTTTAGGCTTGATATCGCTAACAGCGGCGCGAACATTGCGCTAGCAGCAGTGCAAGCGAAAAAGCGCACACGGGCGCGTAGAAATCTTTGCTACACGCGCGCGGACATTGACCTGGCAGAGCAACGCAAACGTGTCAACGAACAAATCGGAGAAATTTGAACAACAGTGAGGTATTTTCAAATACCTTATTTATGAAGAACAATCGCGCAGTGAAATGGGAGGAACTAGAGTTTATTATTTGTCATAAAGGTAGTGTGATTATCATGCGCACGCAAAGTATTTGCTACAGTCTAGTACTGTAGAAAATTAGGCGTTTGGATGCGCATCTGTGAGGCTTTAATATTAGCGAGGTCAGTTAAGTTACACAGCTGCTATCTTTATTACTTGTACTTATGGTATAGCAAAGCCATAGGCTATCATAGATTTTAGATCTGTTAATTAGATAGTATCCTATACTATAACTGACTCTGAGCGCGGAACGTGGTGATGGGGAGGGTAGCTCTTCATTAGTCGTTGCGCCAGTGAGTTTAGTCATCAGAGAACTACCTGCCGTCAGGTGAGGCGGCTGTCGCTCTGCGAGCAGACGTTGTCCTTGAAAAACATGGTCAAATCATTGAATAAAATGGCATAGCGCTAATAAAACAAAACAAAATTATTTAACAAATGGCGTATGGCATTTGTTTTCTGCGTTGTTCTTAGAACGGTTTTCCACGCTTTGGCACGAATTCTCAGCGTCTCGGCGTTACAGTGTGAGACCATTTTGTCTATGTTGTGCAGAATAAATTCATGACCAGCAGTCGTTTTTCATGCAAATATATTTATATGTGGTAGCCATCATAATATGCATAAATTAGCTGTGATGTACAATAAATGTGTATGAATTATGAATTTTGTGATTGATTCTCATACCAATCAGACAAGCCTTATGATGAAGTTCCTAGTTTAATCGTAATTTTCTAATAGGGCTGGCGATGTGTTTTCTGTCAACGCTAGTCTGCGCAAGAGCATTGGCTAATTAGTCGTAAGTGTTATCGTAGGCATTAACTTTAGCTATTAACTTTACGAATGTTTCTGACGAACGGGCAGGGCGCCGCTGGCAGTAAACCATATATTTCTTTTAGTAGACAGCCATGTATAGTATACGTAGCGCAGCTGTGTGTATATCTGTAGGCCAAGCCCATCTATATATTCTGTAGCCAGCCATCAATATATCTGTAGCCAGCCATCAATATATCTGTACGCGTCAGCCGTGTATATATCTGTAGCCAGCCATGTATATATATATAATATATATATAATATTATGATTGGGCCAGCTGGTATACTTTGGATAGTCAGCATAAAATGCTATGCAGACAGTTGTGTGTATGATCTGTAGTCAGGCATGTATCATCTAACACATGTCTCACTGCGCTCGATCTATCTCTCATGCTCTCTCTATCTTCAATATCTCTCTCTATTTGCAGAATAATGAGAATCTCTTCATGTCAATTAGCCTGTCTCGCATCCATGCCGCGGAGGAAGACTTCGCACGTGGTCATGCATGAAGGGCCTGAGCGCGTACTGCTCAGCAACCCGCCTCATTCAGCACCTACCCTGCCGCGGCTCCTGCCAAAGAAAGGTAAGGCAGTTCACGACTAGGAAGCTGCGCTCATTCTGCTTTGCTGGAAGAATGTGTGACCGCCGAACAAAGAGTGGCGAAGCGTGCGGTGCGGTGGCCTGATGTGTCATGCGTGGGAAAGCGTGTGGGTGCGGTGCTGATGTGTGCTATAGCGTGGGAAGGCGTGTGGGTGCGGTGCCTCATGTGTGCGTGCGTGGAAGCATGTGGGTGCGGTGGCACTGATGTGTGCGTAGGCAAGTGGGATAGCGTGCGGTGCGTGCGCGTGAATGTGTGCTACTGCGTGGGAAAGCGTGGAGGGTGGGCGGGCCTGATGTTGTGCATGCGTGGAAGCGTATGGGTGCGGTGGCCTGCATGTGTGCGTGCGTGGGACGCAGTGGCGGGTGCGGCTGGCCTCAATCGTGTGCGTGGCGTGGGAAGCGTGCGGGTGCGGTGCCTGATGAGTGTGCGTATGTTGGGAAGCGTTGCGGGTGGCGGTGCCTGATGTAGTGCATTGCGTGGAAGCCGTGCGGAGCGCGGTGCCTGATGTGTGTGTGCGACGTGGCGAAGCGATGCGGGTGCGGTGGGCCTGATGTGTGCGGTGCGTGGAAGCGTGTGGGTGAGGCGGGTGCGGTGCGCCCTGCATGTGTGCGTGTGTGGGAAGGCGTGCGGTGCGGTGGCTGATGGTGTGTGTGCTGTGGGAAGGCGTGCGGGTGCGGGTGGGCTTGATGTGTGCGTGCGTGGGAAGCGTGCGGGTGCCGGTGCTGATGTGTGCGTGCGTGGGAAGGCGTGCGGTGGGCAGTGGCCTGATGTGTGCGTGCGCGGAAGGCGTGCGGGTGGCAGTGCCTTCATGTTGTGTGTGTGTGGGGAAGCGTGGCGGGTGCGGTGCCGTGATGTTGTGTCGTGTGTGGGAACGCGTGCGGGTGGCGGTGCGGCTGATGTGTTGTGTGTGGGAAGGGCGTGTGGGTGCGGTGCGCTGATGTGTGCGTGTGTGGGAAGCGTGCGGTGCGGTGGGCCTCATGTGTGTGTGTGTGGAAGGCGTAGCGGGTGCAGTGGGGCGCTGATGTGTGGCGTGCGCGGGAAGCGTGGCGGAGTTGCGTGGGCGTCAATGTGTGCTGTGCGTGGGAAGCGTGCGGGTGGGCGGTTTGCCTGATGTAGTGCGTGCGTGGCGAAGGCGGAGGGCGGTGTGGCTGGGTGGCCTGCATGTAGTGCGTGTGTGGGAAGCCGGCGAGTGGGTGCCTCATGTGTTGTGTGTGTGGGAAAGCGTGCGGCGTGGGCAGTGCCTGATGTGTGCGTGCGCGGGAAAGCGTGCGCGGGATGCGGTGGGCCTCATAGTGTGGCGTGTGTGGGAAGCGTGGCGGGTGGCGGTGCGCTCATCGTGTGTGTGCTGTGGGAAGCGTGGGGTGGCGGTGCACTGATGTGTGTGTGTGTGGGAAGGCGTGTGGGTGCGGTGCCTGATGTGTGCATGCCCGTGCGGAGTAGCGGAGGGTGGCGGTGCCTCAGTGTGTGGCGTGTGTATGGAAAGCGTGGCGGGTGCGGTGGGCCTGATGTGTGGCCGTGCGTGGGAAGCGTGTGCGGTGCGGTGCCATCAGATAAGTGGTGCGTGTGTGGGAAGCGTGGCGGGTACGCGGTGCCCATGTGTGTAGTGTGTGGGAAGCGTGGCGGGTGGCGGTGGCCTGATGTGTGCCGTGCGTGGGAAGACGTGCGGGTGCGGTGGCCTGATGTGTGTGTGTGTGGGAAGGCGTGCAAGGAAGTAGCCGGTGGGGGCCTGCATGTGTGCGTGAGCGTGCGGAAGCGTGCCGGGTGCGGTGCCTGATGTGGTGTGGCGTGGGAAGCCGTGCGGTGCGGTGGCCTGATGTGGTGCATGGCGTGGAAAGCGTGCGGGTGGGTGCGCTGATGTGTGCTGCGTGGAAGCGCTGAGGGTGCGGTGCCTGATGTGGTGGCGTGCGTGGAACGCGTGGCGGGTAGGGCGGTGCGCTGATGTGTGGCGTGTGTGGGAAGCGTGCGGGAAGTGCAGGTGCCTGAATGTGTGTGTGCGATCGGAAGTGGACAGGCAAGTCGGAGTCACAATTGCAAATATTGGAAAATATTGAAAACTTTGTAGATGCTGATGAGTAATAAACTGAACATCAAATTCCTAAAACTGCGTTTATATTTTTAGCTATTGATGTTACTGTGCTGGGTGTTTTAAATCGTGTGGAGTTCACACATCATTAATCTTGTAGCCATGTCATGTTAAAATAATGAGGCTTTCGTGTCTCAATGCATGATATCTATATGTTTACTTTTCAGAAATTTCTCGTTCTACGTTCTAAAGAGCAGCAATGTTCTGGAGATTTTCTTGCGTTCCAATTGCTTATTTCAACATCAATGATGCGCAGGGCAGATCATATGTAAGTTGCTGCCTACTGGTCATCTAAAAATCAGTGAGAATGCTGGCTTGCATATTTAACCATAAAGAAATGGCGCCAATTATTAGAGACTCTAATGTAAATGACTTAGGCCAGACATTTAGCAAGCTGATTTCTATCTAGATAATTTCATAGCCACACATTATTGTCTAGCTAAACGTAGGCAATTATCGTCTGCTTAACGCGAGCATTATCGTCTGCTAACGCAGGCATTATCGTGCCTGCCTAACGACAAGGCATTATGCCTCTGCTAACGGCATTACTTATCGTCTGCTAACGACGCATTATCGTGCTGCTAACGCAGCATTATCGTCTGCTAAAACACAGCGCATTATCGAGTCTGCTAAAACGCAGCATTATCCCGGATCTGCTAAGCCAGCATTATCGTCTGCTACCAGCATTATTGCGTGACTGGCTAAACGCAGCATTATCGTCTGCTAAACCAGCAATTTATCGTCTGCTAACCAGCATTAATCGAGTCGCTAAACGCAGCATTGATCGTCTGGCTAAAGCAGCAATTATCGTCTGCTAACTCAAAGCATTATCGTACTGCTAACGGCAGCCATTTATGCGACTGCTAGAGCGAGCAGCATTATCAGTCTGGCTAACCAGCATTCTTGTCTGCTAACTATGGCATTATCGTCTGCTACAGCAGCATGATGCGTCTGCAAACAGACAGCATATATCGTCTGCTAAGGTCCAGCATTATCGTCTGGCTAAACGCAAGGCAATTATTCGTCTGCTAACCAGCATTATGTCCGGCTGCTAAGCCAGCATATCGTCTGGCCTAACATAGGCATTATCGTCATGCTAAGCGATCAGCATATATCGTCTGCTAACAAGCAAGCCATTACCGTACTGCCCACACCAGGATTATCCGTCTGGCTAACCCAGCATTTAATGCGTCTGCTAAACCAGCATTATGCGTCTGGCTAACCAAGCATTATCGTCTGCTAAAACCAGCATTATCGTCTGCTAACTAGAATCAAGCATTATCGTCTGCTAAGCCACAATTATCGTCTGCTAACTGCAGCATTTCGTCTGCTACCCAGCATTATCGTCTGCTACGGCGCATTAATTGTCTGCTCAAGCGGCAGCATTATCGTCTTGCTACGCAGCATTATGCGTCTGGCGTAACGTAGTAGCAATTATCGTCTGCTAAACGCAACAGCAATTATGTCTGCTAACGGCAAGCATTATCGTCTGCGTAACCAGCAAATTATCGTCTGCTAACGGCGCATTATCAGTCTGCTAAAAGCGCAAAGCATTATCGTCTAGCTAACCAGGCATTATCGTCGCTGCTAACGACAGCATTATGCGTCTGCTAAAGGAGCAGCATTATCGCTCTGCTGAACCAGCATTTTATCGTCTGCTAACCAGGCATTATCGTCTGCTCAACGCGAGCGATTATCGAGCTGCTAACGGCATTATTATCGTCTGCCTAACCAGCATTTATCGTCTTTGCTGATACGGCAGCCATTATCGTCTGCTAACCAGCATTATCGTCTGCTAAACCCGCATTCATCGGTCTGCTAACCAGCATTAATCGTCTGCTAACCAGCATATCGTCTGCTAACTCAGCATTATCGTCTGCTAACGGCAGCATTATCGTCTGCTAGACCAGCAATTATCGTCTGCTAAACCAGCATATATCAGTCTGGCTAACAACAGGCATTATGCGTACTGTGCCTAACCAGCATTATCGTCTGCTAACTCAGACAATTATTAGTGCTGCTAACGAGGCAGGCATTATCGTCTGCTAACGGGTGCAGCATTATCGTCTGCTAACCAGCTTATCGTCTGCTAACGTGCAGCATTATCGTCTGGCTAAGCGCCAGCATTGATCGTCTCTAACGCAAGCATTATTGTCTGCTACCCAGGCATTATCGTCTGCTAACGCGAAAGGCATTATCGTCTGGCTAAACCAAGGCCATTATCGTCTGGGCTAACCAAGCATTGATCGTACTGCTAACCAGCATTATCGTTGCTAACCAGCATTTCGTCTGCTAACGCAGCATTACATCGTCTGCTGAACCAAGCATTATCGTCTGCCAACGCGAGGATATCGTCTGCTACCAGCATTATCGTGCTAGCTGTAAGCCAGAATTGTCATCTGCTTTAGCGGCGTGTGGCCTGATGGCAGACATTAGGAGTGTTTTCAATTCTCAGCTAGGCTGGGGCTCAGTGGGCGAGAGAAAAGTTCGGCGTGAGACTCAACAAGCCGTACACGAGTGCGAGTGCCGATGAGCATTCCTATGTTTACGGGAACCCTATGGCTGAACCTACTCATCATTGTAAGTAACTGGCTGCGTGAGAAGTTGAGAGAGTGGAATAAAAGAGAGAGAGAGAGAGAGAGGGAGAGAATTGGCAGTAGGGCAAGAGAGAGAGAGAGTACCCTAAATATACCGACGCTAACGAAGATGACGGAGTCAAGCAGGAGAGAGAGAGGAGAGAAGGAGGGAGAAGAGTAGAAGAGAGACGAATTCGAGAGCAAGGGAGAGCAGAGAGAGCAGCGGAGAGGGAGGAGAGATTCACGGCCCGCCAGCACTAGGAGAGAAGAGGAGGATTTCAAGGCACAACAGACTCCCCCGTGAGAGAGAGAGGAGAGAATGCGAGATTGAGGAGAGAGAGAGAGAGGGGAGACGAGAGGAGCGACGAGAGAAAGGAGAGAGAGAGAGAGATGGGGAGGGGCAGAAGAGGGTGGTCAGGGAGAGAAGGAAGGAGGGAGGGACGGACATACAGGCAAAGAGACAGTGAGACGAGAGAGAAAGAGAGAGAGAGAGACAGACAGACAGACAGACAGAGAGCAAGAGAGTGAGAGAGGGGGGCAAAAGAGAGTGGTGAGGAAGAGAAAGAAGGCGAGGGGACAGACATACAGGCAGAGAGAGGCAGACAATGAGAGAGAGAGAGAGAGATCCACAGGGGGAGGAGAAGTGCCTGAAATTATTAATATTACCGGCCTGAATATGTTATACTGGTGAACGTGACTCGCTATAACCCTGGCAGAAATGTTGTAGTGGCTCCAATAGTACATGCCCATAATTATGTGTCTGATAGTGTTGACTGCAGATGTCGACACTCGACAGTCATCTGACATCATGTGACATAATGTGATTTCGTTTGTTTCGACAGGTGTTCCACAAGATCATTACGACAGGCCATCAGCGTCTTCAGCCACTGTTTGACTGCCTTCTCACAATCATCGTCAATAGTGAGTACATGCGGCTTGTTAAGGAACTTGTACCTTTAGAAGTAGAATCGGTTCAGTACAGTGTCGTTTGTGTGATGTGTCCAACTGTATTTGCAAATTCAGTACAGCGGTCCCTGTTTTGTCGGGCCTCGGATAAACGGGCACATAGCTTCACTGACATATATCTTTGAACAATCCGTACGCTCGATATTTTATTTTGATGAATGAGGCTGGACCTCGGTTAAATGCGATATATTCTGCAGAACAAACTTAAGTGAACTTTGTAAAATTATCCGAAACTCAAAAGAAAACTGGCGATTTCCCCCAATCCCAAAAGTGCGCTATATATATAGACAGGTTTCTTACCCATAGAGGTGCTTTCACTTCATAACTGCCACTCAAGAGAAACTGTAAGTGTTCTGTATAGACAGGAGTCCGTTTCGTAGGGGTGAGCACTAACACAGACTTGTCTGTGTGCGTGCCTTTGTTTCAGTCTCACCTTACCTGAAGACGCTGTCGATGGTGGCCAGCACAAAGCTGCTGCACCTGCTGGAGGCATTCTCCACGCCTTGGTTCCTTTTCTCTAGTCCCACGAACCACCACCTCGTCTTCTTCCTGCTGGAAGTCTTCAACAACATCATACAGTATCAGTTTGACGGTAAGCTCCAAATTACGCTGGCAAAGCGAAGAACACCTATGTGTTAAACTATTGGTATGGTGCCCTAGGCGAGCCATCACATTGCTGGCCATTTAGAGGTTGGGTTATGATTAAAGACAAAGTTAGTGTTAGGTACATGCTGTTATGGTTACTTATACTTACCCCTAACCTCATTCGAGCAAAGTATTAGTGGTCTTGGTGTAGTATACATCAGAAGATATCTTGTACTGCATGCAAGCGCATCGATAATCCTGTCCGTGTTATTGCTGATATTACAGTAGAGCTAACGATATTAGCCATTAGTTCATATTCATCATCTTTTATCATTGTTAAAAATTTATTAAATTTATTAAAGTTATTAAATTATTTCATCATCATTATTAAATTTATATTACTGTGCGACTAAAAGAGGTTAATCGTTTGTAAAACGTGAAATAAGTATCGTATGCACATTTACGAATCCGTCACGAAATGCGTGTCGCAAACCTTTCGATCTCTCTAGTCGACCGCGACAGTTTCGCCGTTCGTTTCCCCCCGTCGCGTTGCCGTTTATCGCTGAGTCGTCTCCTCTCCGCCTCGCCGCAGGTAACTCCAGCCTCGTCTACACGATCATCCGCAAGCGCAACGTGTTCCACCAGCTCGTCAACCTGCCAACGGACGGCCCGACGATCGCCAAGACGATCGCGAAGAAGGGGAAGAAGCTGCTGACGCAGGGCACCGTCGACAAGGTGCAGGAGGAGCCTGAGACGATGGAGGGGGCGATGCCGGCGAAGGAAGCTGAGCCCGGGACGCTGAAGGTCTCCCTGGCCGCGACGCCAGGTAGCCGAGCATGGTGGCGCCACCCTCCAGTTGCTGTTTTTGTCGTGGTTTTTTAGCTTGCCTTGACATCGTCAAGATGTGCTATTGCCATGGGGTGTCGTCTGTCGTACGTCCGTCCGTCCGTTCGTCAACATTTGGCTACGGTCAACGATAACTCAAGAACCGTTTGACCCACATGTTTTAAATTGCATACAGTTGTTACTCCTATGGGAGAGGTTTGAACGTCCTATTTTGGAGCACACCAGTCGACCTACTTTTGAGCCACGTCCACTTTTTGGCAAAAATGGAAATGGCTATAAGTCAGTTTAGGTTCAACGGATTTTGCTCATTTATAGTATGTGAATGAATGAGGACTTTTTTTAAATTATGCAAATTAGGTAGATTTTGGCAATTTCACTATGCATTTCAGTGTCTGCCTATGGTCAACGATAACTCAAGAACCGTTTGACCCACATGTTTCAAATTGAATACAGTTGTTACTCTTATGGGAGAGATTTGACCTTCCTATTTTAGAGCACACCAGTCGACCTACTTTTGAGCCACGCCCACTTTTTGGCAAAAATGAAAATGGCCATCTAAATTCATTCGATTTTGTTCAATTTTGGTATGTGAATGTGTAAGGCTAGCCCCAAAACATTATTCCTATGGGAGAGATGACAACATCCTATTACGTTTATTTCGTCTAACTGGTCAACAACTCTACAATCATACCTATATACGTGTAATGTTGTGTTTTAGATTCTTCGTTACAGTAATTTGACTGGAATATTTTATTGTTTTTATTTGCGCGATATATCGAAAACCAAAATGGCGATCATTTCGGCGTAGCGCTATCTCTCGTCAAGATTTCAGACTTATTTTCACGTCAAAACTTATGCATATATCATTATCAAGAGTATATAATGGGAGATATGCTATATAATGAAAGTTGTCCCATATATACCCATGCTTTATATATCCCCCCTCCCTCTTCTATCACACCCAAGGTGAGCTACAGTGTCATTGACACTTTCATTTGCCGTTGTTGTTGTTTACTTTTTGTTGTTATTGTTCTTTTTCTTCTTCATCGTCCATGTAGTGCTCGAGGACTACTATGTTGTAATTGCTTTTCGATCTCTCTCAGTCTGGAGTTCTCACTAGAGCAATTTGCCATTGTGCAGCGATCAGCAAAATGACGGAGCAGTCGCATCCGACAACGACAACCGCGAACCAGCCGACCTTGAAGGAAGTCGCAGAGAATGCTATGTCCATCCAGGAGGGCATTGCCATGCAACCACCCACAGAAGATGCGGACGAGTCTCATGATGCGGCGGTTGCCGAGGGAACGGAAAGCGCGCCGGAAGACGAGGGAAAACACGACAGTGGTACCAGTAGGCAACTGGAGAAGTCGAAAAGCTTGGTGAGATATTGTGTGCATTAGTTAGTAGAGTGCAGTACACCTACTGGCTTTGGGGTTACTTACCATAGCTGATGCTATGGTTTTCACATTATACGGAGAGGTTGCCAATAACACATCTAAAATCTGGAGCACACTTGATAGCCACAAAAACCAGCGTTAAGGTATATAGCTTTAGTTTCTTTTTCTCATTTTTCCTCACAGCCAACTCCGCCAGCAAGTCCTACTTACTCCGTTCAGTCGACCAAGTCTGAAGCGATAATGATGAAGAGGTCAGACACCTGCATTAACCCAGCTGCATGGGTGCCAACATGCGACTGGGTAAGTGAATCAACTGCAATCTGGCTTTGCTACCTGGCACAATATTGCCTTTTGTAGTTCACTGGCCAGTTAAAAACTACTTGAGTATAGTTGGAAATAATCTCTGTTGGCGAAATTCATCATCATTAGCCTACAAAGCGCCGAGTTACATGGTGTATTTGGTGCGAATTTGTGATTTTTATGGTGTGTACAGGTGTTGTCATGGAAACAGAAACTACCGCTACAGACAATCATGAGGATGTTGCAGGTTCTGGTACCACAAGTGGAAAAGATCTGCATTGACAAGTAAGTGGATGAGATCTAATTTAACAATTCCAAATGTGAAATTCTTTTGTTACATCAATCATTTTTTGTTATTGTAATCTAAAAAAACTGGAGTAATAATTTAAAATAAAATGTTTATAGCAAAAAAACTCACCATAAAAAACCAACTGCCTTAACTGCTTCACAAAAAATGTGAAGTCTTGTTTACGTGAAATTAAGTTGAATGGGGTTAGCCGCTAGAAACAGTTGCCGCTGGAGGGCAGCACATCTGCAGAGGTGAAGATTATCCACGTACCCAGATGCACACCCGGGATAGAGTGGGGGAAGTGGGTGTTTATTCTTTTGTGTGTGCTGAGGAGTTATGTAATATGTTTATTGAGATACACTGTGATATTAGTGGTGCATATGTGAAGTGGGTGTTTATTCTTTTGTGTGTGTGCTGAGGAGTTATGTAATATGTTTATTGAGATTCATGTATGTATGTAGGTACATTAGACCGTGCAGAAGAGCCTCTACTGTCTGGTACACACCATATTTCGCGCCGTGACAATATAATATGCCGTGCGTGCGGTGGGTGTGGCAGCGTCACGTGTGTGGCATGCGTGCGTGCGTGTGCACGTACAAGTGCGTACGTGCGTGCGTGTGTGTGTGGTGTGCGTGCGCATGCGTGTGGTCATAGCATTGTACGTGCATGGCGAGCGTGTGTGCGTGGGTGTGCACTTCCACGTGTGTGCGTGCGTGTGCACATACATGTTTGCGTGCGTGCGTGCGTGTGGCACGTACTCGTGGCGTGCATCGCCGTGCGTGGGTGCGTGTGTACGTACCCGTGCGTGCATGCCGTACGTGTGTGCTTGCGTGCGTGGCGTCTGCACGTACAGGTGCGTGGCATGCGTGCGTGCGTGCGTTGCACGTACACGTAAATGTGCCGTGCGTGCGTGGTGTAAGCGTACACATGCGTGCATGCGTGCGTGTGTGCGTGCGTGTAAACGTGGCACGTGTGTGCGTGCGGTGTGCGTGTGTCATGACATGTACGTCGCATGCGTGCGTGTTGCGTGCGTGTGCAGTACCGTGTCACGGTGTGTGCATGCGTGCGTGCGTGCGTGCGTGCGTGCTGTGGCACCGCCAGCGTGTATGGGTGCGTGCGTGCGTGGCGTGGTGGCGCGACGTACCAAGTTGTGTGCGGTGCGTGCGGTGCATGCGTACGTGTGTGCTTGCGTCCATATGTAAGCGGGTGTTTACTTCTTTTGTGTGTGCTGAGGAGTTATGTAATATGTTTATTGAGTATCACTTGTGATATTCAGTGGTTGCATATGTGAAGTGGGTGCTTTATTCTTTTGTGTGTGCTGAGGATTTATGTAATATGTTTATTGAGATTCATGTATGTATGTAGGTACATGTATGACCTCAGAGAGCCCCTAAACTGTCGTACACGCGAACACCCTATATTCGCGCTGACAATATATATCGTGCGTGGCGTTGGTGATGCACGTCCACGTGTGTCATGCGTGGCGCTGCGTGTAGGGCACGTACAGTGCGGTACGTGCGTCGCGTGTGTGTGTGGTGCGTGCGTGCGTGTGGTCATACCATGTAACGTGCATGCGAATCGTAGTGTGCGTGGGTGTGCACGTCCCACGTGTGTGCGTGCGCTGTGCACGTACATTGCGTGCGTGCGTGCGTGTGCACGGTAGCTGTGCAGTGCATGCGTGCGTGGGTGCGTGTTACGTACCCGTGCGTGGCATGCGTACGTGTGTGCTTGCGTGCGTGCATGCACGTACAGGTGGCGTGCATGCGTTGCGTGTGCACGTAACACATGCATGTATGCGTGGCGTGCGTTTGCACGTACACGTATGTGCGTGCGTGCGTGTGTACGTACACATGCCGTGCATGGCGTGCGTGTGTCGTGCCCGTGTAACGGCACGGTGTGTGCGTGCGTGTGTCGTCGTGTCCATACATGTACGTGCATGCGTGCGTGGTTGTGCCGTGCGTGGGCAGGTACACGTGTCACGTGTGTGCGGTGGCGTGCGTGCGTGCGTGCGTGCGTGCCGTGTGCACGTCACTGTGTATGGGTTGCGTGTGCGTGCGTGCGTGTGCGCACAACGTACAAGTGTTGTGGCGTGCGTGCGTGCATGCGTACGTGTGTGCTTGCGTCGCATTATGTGAAGCGGTGTTTATTCTTTGTGTGTGCTGAGGAGTTTATGTAATATGTTTATTGAGATTCCACGATGAATATTAGTGGTGGCCATATGTGAAGTGGGTGTTTGAATTCTTTTGTGTGTGCTCAGGAAGTTTGTGTAATATGTTTATTGAGATTCACGGGAATGATTAGTGGTGCACTATGTGAAGTGGGTGTTGATTCTTTTGTGTGTGCTCAGGAGTTGTGTGAATATGTTTATTCGAGATTCACGGTGAGAATTAGTGGTGCATCTGATGTAAGTGGGGTGTTGCTTCTTTTGTGGTGTGCTCAAGGAGTTATGTAATTATGTTTAAATTGAGATTCACGGTGATATTAGTGGTGCATATGTGAAGTGGGTGTTGCTTCTTTTTGTCGTGTGCTCAGGAGTTATGTAATATGTTTATTTGAGATTATATCCAAGCTACAAGACTCAAGTTGGGCAATACAAATTATGAATATCTTTATTTCTAAAATGCAGCGCCATTTACTACAGACACTATAAGTCAGGGGTGGGTAGGGCTAAAAAAGGGCCGTTTGTGGTTCACATTTTTCCAAAAGCAGCCAAATTGTGCCCACCTGTTGCCCATACCATACATTTTTCCGATTCTGGCGGCGCGCGGAAATGGGCGCTCCCCGGGCCGCCATATTGCAAACTTCCAATATGGCCCACCACCCCGGGTTTGGGGGTTAATCCTAGTTAAAAACATCCAAAAGAACTATAATCATACAATATACCAACTTTTTAGGGTTTTCAAGGTCTGGGAATTCTGATTCCTATCTACTTGCAGTGATTTGACGATCAAGTCACCTAACGGTCATTTTAGGGGTCTAAATGATGTCATTTTTTAAAGTGTTTTTTTGTCAATATAGTTACAAACACAGAAACATATTATTAATCAGTTTCCGGGGTTGAGTAACCCGAATCGACGCTTATTTGAAACGATTTGAGGCCAATATTGCATGTCAGGGTCACGATAGAGGTCACCCGACCGGAGTGAATCGTAACGTCAATTATAAGTAAAAAACCAAAAGTGCTAGATTCAGACATAATACCACTTTTTAGGATTTGTGGCCTCTGAGAATCCGATTCTGATCTATTTAATAGATTCGAAGTCAAGGTCCCCTCAAGGTCACCCTAAAGAGTCATTTTGGGTACAACCCAGTTGTTTCTGGTGTGTCACCGCCCAATCCAAAAAAGTTTGAGATTTTCTCCACAGAAACACTTTTGCCAAGACACACTGCAGCGACAACGAACCGACCGTAAGCGACAAACCGACTTTTCAGAAAAATTAGAAACTATTGTTTTCCTATGTATAATGAGCCAGTTGCACACATGACGCAGGGCTCGAACTTTAACGTGGCCCGGGTGCCAATGGCCATCCTCTGAAACGGCGTCGGGCCACCTGAAATGTGGGCGGGTATGAGGTGCCCGCCTGGGCCACCAATTAAAAATTAAGGGCCGTGCATGCCTACAGCGACGCGGTTCGGACGAGGAACCCTTAGGCTACGGTCCGAATCCGATCTCGAGGCAGAGATCTTGCGACACGTAACACGCATGATTGCGGGCAAGGGAACGCTCTGCTGATTGCCGGAGTGTGTGTGTACGTGTGTGTGTGTGTGTGGTGTGATCGTGCGTTGTAGTGTGTGTGGTGTGTGACGTGCGTGTGCGTGTGCGCGTGCGCGTTGCGCTGTGTGGTGGCGTGTGCGTGTGCCCGTGCGCGTGCGTGTGTGTGTACGTGTGGTTTACTGGAAGGCAGATTCTGAGAATGTGAACGGACAGCAAACAATGCTTACTGTGCGGCCTAAATCCAGATTCTGAGAATGTTGAATCGGAATCAAGAAACAATGCTTTACTGGCCATCCCTGACTCGCGCACAAGGGAATAGTTGAGGAGTTCGAGGCCATCCAGCGACCCCCATCATGCATCGCACTGCTCATCATGAAGGAAGACACAGCTTGCAAGTCAAGTTTCGAAAAGGATGTACTATCGTTCATCGAGGCTGGTCCGAGCACTAGGCAACCCGTCATTGAAAGGCTGAAAAGCTTCCCCAGTACGCCGGGGGTATGCTGATAGCCATCAAAGCGGTAACAACATGCTAACATTCGCCAACGCGACCCTGACTCAAAAAAAAAGGCAAAGAAGGGACCCTGGCATACAGAGGACAGAATATGACGAAATACACCAACTTTTCCTCTCACTTCAGTCGTGTCGCGCGATGCAGACATGGCAGACCTTCTTTCGGTTCGAAAATCAAGAGACGAGCCACCAGCCTGGCCGGATCGAGGGCCGCGCGATCTGGGACAAATCGGACATTCTTCAATGCCTCAATGCCACCCACTGCCGCACCCGTTGCTCGCGAACATAACCTCGGTATGGTGGGTTGGATTATGGCAGCAAGTGATCCACATGGTGCGCCCCACAACGCACAAAACATTCAAGAGAGTATGTGCCGGCTTCACACATTGTACCATTTCTGGAGGCCCAAATGAAGAGTGGTACCCACGCATCGACGCTGTATGGGATAAATATCCGCCAATGACAATAACCTCGAAGCTATCACGGGCAGCGCTACGACGTGGGAAGGGCCCACGGAACAAGAGTCGGCGATGGGCAGCACTCAAATTTCGAAGCATGAATGGTAATAAGTGGCTTTAAAAAAATGAGGAGAAGCAAGAAGGAAGCTCTTTCTCATCATCGCACACAGTAAGGTCTCCTAAGAACTGACAAGGGTGAATAAGCTCCTCCTGAATACCCGTTTCGAGACCGTGATCTCCAAGCAAGCATTGTGACGCTCACAACACTTCAGCGTGCAACCATTCCGAGGCGGACACAAGATCCTTACTGGGCATCGCACACCTGCCCTAGAGGCAGGGTCATAAACAACAGCCCCTATGTTCGCACGGTAGACAGCGTGTTGTGGTTTTGGCCAATACCGGTTTTCGAGACCCTTCGCCTATCAGGGCGGAGCTCTGGGTGGGGTTCGGTAGCGTAAAAAGTACCGTGATATTCATCCATACCATCGGCCTCCAAATTCTCGGTCCTTCCAAAAGTCCTTGCACCTACCCCTCTCCACAGCCTAAGTCAGGACATGTGACGACGACTTCACAGTTTCTTGATGTGGCAAGAAGACCGGCTCTGGGCAGCCCTGGACAAGCATGCCGGACCTCCGACACACCTAGTGGCTCTCACACGCGAACCGCTGGCCTCTCAGTTGCGTGTTGTACATATCGTCAGCGCAGATCGAAACGCTGTCGTGGTACTCATGTACAGGCAAGGGGTGTGGTGGCAGCTGGCTGTCAAGAGCCCAGGGCCTCCGGCCTCTTCATCACTGGAAGCAGATCACTGGAAAAAAGTAGTTCCACCTCACCCAAGCTATCATCTGTTTGCCGAGGCATCGTGAACAAGCGTTACTACAGGCACATTTTTCTACTGGAGTCAGGCCACCTCGTCCACGAGCAAGAAGAATTCCTCGACTTCAGTAGAGTGGGGATGGCACAAAGATGACACGCATACATGGCAACCACTATGGACGCACTTCTCAGCGAGCTTCCATTGACATTGCCATTTCTCGGCTTTGCACTGTCGGCTTCAGCCGTCAAAGGCATGCACAAGGAAAGGTGCAAATGCAAACGCGTCGGTGTGCCCGATGTACGGCCCGTTTGCCAATGCGAAGGTAGGGTGCGTTAATAGCGAAGATGACGAGCAGTAGTAATACTTTAAGTCTGAATTACTTTAATAAAAGAGAATTTGATTCCTCGAATGAATCTTGTTTATTTTAGTAGTAGCACTGCTGAGCTTTGACCTTTGATCTCCAAACGATGTGATCACTGATGTCCTCAAATCGCCTATAATATTTTTTATAAGATCAAGAATCGGATTCTCAGAGGCCACAAATGCCTAAAAAGTGGTCGATTACTGTCTAATTCTTCAGTGTTTAATGCTTTTTTACCTAGTAGATTCGACGAGTACGATTCACCTCTCGGTCCGCGTGACCTCTAATCGTGACCCCTGACATGCAATATTGTCCTCAAATCGTCAAATTAAGGTCGCAGATCGGGTTAACTCAAACCCCCGGAAAACCTGATAAAATGAAGGTGCTGTTTTGTAATATATTGACAAAAAAACCACTAAAAATTACTATTTGACCCCATAAATGACGTTTAGGTAACCTTGAGGGGTGAACCTTGACCGTCAAAATCACTGAAGTAAGATCAGAATCAGATCTCCCAGACCTTGAAAACGCCCTAAAAAAGTGTATCTTAGTTTATGGATTGATAGATCTTTTGCTGTTTAACCCCGATTGCCCCCAACCCCGGGTGGTGGCCATATTGGAATTGCCGAATATGGCGGCCCCCGGGGGGGCGCCCGTACGGCGCCCGCCAAATCGAAAAAGTATGGTATGAGGCAACCATCTGGGCAAATTGTGCTTTTGGAAAGAATGTGAACCAAATAATCCCTAACACCCCCTGACCTACTAGGCATTACTGGCTGACAATAGCTCGCGCTAAAGTTGGAAATCATGAAGCACACCTAACATTTCTTTCCACTGTAGATAAATGTTCTTGATGGGCAGGTGCTCTTTTTAATATTTTTAAGATTCTTGCTTAGACCAGTGAACCCTCTGCACATGAATCCTACTTAAGATACTCTATGGTCCTTAACAGAGGCGTGTGTGCGGAGTTGAGGAGTGTGAGTTGTTGCTTTGAAGTGCATTGATCTGGCGTTGTTTATCATGCACTATTTATCAGTCGTCAATACCTTGAGGTCTCTTTCTTTCGGTCTAAAAAAAATAGAGACTTATTTAATTATATATTATTCTATATTGAAAATATGATTATTAAAAAAAAGCGTGGTGTGCAACGAAGGGCTATAGGCACTTTGTGCGGAGTGGGAGGCTTGTGTGAGAGTCGTCAGGTAGGTACAATAGATAAACATGTAGACAAATCCGGTGATAACATTAGGCCAAGTACCGTTGGTGAGCCTTAGGTACTGGTACCTCGCGGTGCGTAACGTGAGGGGGGACCGCGCGTGGGTTCCTCGATGAGTTTACACGAAATGGTACCATGGCTGAACGTTGCCACTGGCATATGTGCTATTATAATTATCCTGCGGCTCGGTAGCGAAGTAGATGCGTGTCAGAGTGAGTAAGCACTAACAGTTGTTTTTATAATCTAGACTAGTCAAAATGAGCTAATAACTAATGTTTATAAGCTATTTTCGATATTACACTTACTTAAAAGTGTGCTAGTATAGTCAGCCTCTCTGAAGTGATCGCTGCAGACTTTACAAAGGCATTTTAACTTGGTTATATCGCTATGATGATACGATCGGCTATTCGTGATTCCTGTATCTTTCCAACTGACCGGTTGATTGCGCAATCGTTCTAACACCTCTAACTCCCGCTGCGCCACCTGCTGACAAAGCTAGCGGCTAACCCCATTGTATTGGATATTATTTTGTTATATATGTGTTATGTGTTTCTACATATTGCATTTGTATTTATGATATAAGGGGACTTACAGATGAGAGTGAGATTCTAAAGTTTCTGCAGCATGGAACGTTGGTAGGCCTTCTGCCTGTGCCTCATCCGATCCTCATCCGAAAGTACCAGGCCAACCAAGGCACAAGCATGTGGTTCCGCACCTACATGTGGGGAGTCATCTATCTAAGGTATTCAACTTTTATTTTGCAGGGATGAGAATCTTCCTCGGATCCAAAAAATTTCTCAGATTTGACAGTCCCTGGGGTCGATTTTGTAAAACGTCTAAATTCCACAAGAAAGATTTGGGGGGGGGATAAGGTTAAGAATGTAAAATCTGTATTTCACTCTCAACAGTACCTTTATTAATAAGATTCTTCTCTGTACATGTATGTGTTACATGTACACATAATGTGAGAAAGTGTGTGTAATATTGCAATAACAGAAATTAGTTTGTATTCATCAACACGTAAAACACATTGTATTAGTTTGAATGAAATGAATAGTTGGCTCCCCCCCCCCCAACTTGTGATCTTCTCTGAAAATGAAATTCTTCATTCTCATCCCTGATTTTGCTTTAGATGATGTTTTATCTAGACACGATAAGGAATGCTACTGGTGGTTGTGTGAGTCATTGGTTGTAACAGTGGTTCATGTTGGATTAGCAATCGTCTTGACGTCATTGGTTGTAATAGTAGACCATGTTGGATTAGCTAGCATCTTGACGTCATTGGTTGTAATAGTAGACCATGTTGGATTAGCTAGCATCTTGACGTCATTGGTTGTAATAGTAGACCATGTTGGATTAGCTAGCATCTTGACGTCATTGGTTGTAATAGTAGACCATGTTGGATTAGCTAGCATCTTGACGTCATTGGTTGTAATAGTAGACCATGTTGGATTAGCTAGCATCTTGACGTCATTGGTTGTAATAGT